AAAAAAAAAAAAAAAAAAAAAAAAAAAGCACTATATAAAATATGATTATAAGAGGTGCGGCTATTTCTAATGATATGATCCCATGAAACCTTAATATACATCATATATATAATAAAACAGATCCATACTGTTGAGGGGAGGGGTATTTGGCCTCTTGGCCCGATCTCTCTACTACCACCACATACCTTCATTTTTTTTTTATAAAGTTAGTTTCACCATATATGTAGCACCGTGAGCTTTTCGGACTGGTCCAAACATAATTCAGATCACCGTACTCAACAAATTAGGACCATAAATATTCACTAGCTTTTAAGCGCAAAAATCCAAAAACAAATTAGAGGAAATTACATAAAAGCAGGCATTTAAGTTTACAAATTCAAAAATCAGATCTAAACTTTATTTAATAAAAAAATCAGGTATTACATAATAATTATATATTAAATGTTTTCACCCAATTCAATTACAAACCCTAATTTTATTTCTTTCTTCTCACTCTCACTCTCTCTCCCCATCTTCTTCATCTCTTTCTCATGCCTTCTTCTCTGTCAGACGTCGTCATCGCTGTCATCAGAGCACCCACCGTGGGAACCGCGTCATCGCCACCACTGAAGCAGCACCATGCTGCTTAATGAAGAGATGAGAGCCTCTGCGAACGAAAGTGCAGAGGCGGCGATGTGAAATCTTCTTTGATTTGTGGTGTTTCTACGACGATTTTCTATGGCATGGTTTGCACGATAGCGGCGGTGGTGCTTTATGTGGGGGTGGGATGGTGTTTGTGTGATGTCAAACTTGATGATTTTGTTGGTGGGGTGGTGGCTTAGCTGGCAGCAACGATAGGGTTGGAGGTGGTGGTTGTGGTGTGGTGATGTCTTTGTTGTTGTTTGTGACGGGGATGGTGGTGACGATGAGATGGAGGTGGTGGCGGGTGTAGGATTTTTTTGTTGGATTTGGTGGTGACGATTTTCTTGGTGGTGATGTTGTGGTATTGAGGTTGGCGTTGGATCTGGTGGCGGCACGAGGTGGTGGTTGCTGGTGGCTGAAAATTTGATAGAGTAGATTGTCATGATTTTTGTTAACAGTCGATTGGATCTGGTGGCAACGATTTTGTTGGTGGTGACGTAGTGGTGGTGATGTCGTGGCGACAGTGTATGTGGTGGTCATATGTGACCCACTATTTGGTTACCTGTGACCAATTGTTTAACTGTGACCTTAAAATTCGATAATTTGTGACCAACAAATTTGAAAATATGTGACTAATTGATAAATTGTGACCTATAATTTTTTATATGTGACCTTAAAATTAGATAATTTGTAACCAACAAATTTGATAATTTTTTTTTATCTATGACCAATAAAATAAAATGTGACTTATAAAATTTTTCATTTGTGATCTTGAATTAATCTGTGATCAATTAATTATTTAATACGTAATCAATAAATAAGTTGTGACCTATGATTATGTACCTGTGACCATTAATGATATAATTGTAATTTTATTATATTTAATTAATAAATATTTTTAATTAATTAACTAAAACCTGATTTTTGTATTAGTCAAACTTAAAGCCTAATTTTTGAATTGTGTATAGTTAATCCATGACTTTTGAACTCTACCCTTAAAACTTTTTAGTTGTGACCTATGATTATGTACCTGTGACCATTAATGATATAATTGTAATTTTATTATATTTAATAAATAAATAAATACCCGATTTTTGCATTAATTAAACTTAAAACCTGATTTTTTGAATTGTGCATAGTTAATGCCTTAAATGTGAATTTTTCCCAATAAATTATAGAGATAATTGTCAACAACATCATACCTTGCCATTGTTTCCTGTAAAACTTTTGCGGTTCTTAACAAACAATATCTGTCAACTGTTCTGAATCTTTGAAATTGAGTCTTCATATGGAAGAAATCAATTAATTTTCAATTGATTCAGATACTTGATTTTCACTCTTTTCTAATCTAATGACTATTTTTTTAGGTGTCAAAATTCGTGGTAGATACTCTAGATTGCTTTTTAGTGATATGGCTTTAATATCGCCTAGTGGTCCTAACATTAATGCACTCTAAAAAATGAGTTAATAATTAATTGTTGTAGTATACTAATTAGAGTAAACAATTTGGAAAAATATGTAGTAGGTTCAATTCTGTGCATTTGTACGATGTTCATTCTGCTGTTTTAAGAGTTGAGATTTATTATATGAAGGGGTTTTGGTGAAGTAGTGAAATTTTTTGTCACATTTTCTACTACTAAACGAGTTTGCCGTGAAAATAAGTAATTTATATAAACCTCTAATTTTCAACAAACACGCTATACTTTCTTCACGTGAAGATCTTTCAAAGCTTTTTCTCAATTCTTGGACGTTTTGAGAATGTCACATAGACATTAAGCATTGCAAGACTAATCATAACAAACTTTCATATTGGCAAATCACTCGATATCAATTTTATCATCATTTACACAGCACGATTGAATTTTAAAAATTCCTTCACAACTTATCTCTCAAAAACGTTTTGAAATAAGTGTAGAGGATGTTAATACTATTAATATCTGCCTCTATTCATCGCAGTTATTACAAAATTCTAGAATTGAATTTTTTTATATATATGTCCATATGTGCTTAGGTGGGGTTTAGCAATCGCCCTTATCCGGACGAAGACAAATCACAAAAGAAAACACCACCTCCAAACCAACCTTTAATTTTCTTGAATGACATTTATTATATTTACTGTATTTTTGTTTAAGGACAAGGTTTGGAGATTTTGACATTTATTGTCCCTCAGAGACTTTAAAGAAAGAGCCTATATATATCTATGAATGGTGCATGGTGTAGCCTACAGTATAGCTTTCTCCCTCTTTACTGCATGCAGTTTTCCAGTGCTTTTTCCAGATAAAACTACTTATAGGTCATAATTTCCGTCTGTTTTTCAAAGCTTTTTGAAAGCATCAATGGAGGTTTTAATGGTTATTTCTTTACTTTTTTTGGGACTTTTATTCTTCTTCTGTCTGCTGAAATGGAATACAATAAAATACAGTAAAAGGGGTTTGCCTCCTGGTACCATGGGGTGGCCATTTTTTGGTGAGACCACTGAGTTCTTGAAGCAAGGGCCAGAATTCATGAAGAATCAAAGAGCAAGGTTGGTTTCATTTATGTGCAAATTATTTTTTATATTAGCTTATATAAATTTGTTATCTGAATTTATTATTGGAATCACACTGCCCATTTTTCAACTTTTGATTTTGCTAATTGTGTGGCCTTTACAGTTCATTTCCATGAGGAAATGAAACCATTCTTGTGCACAAAAATTTCCTTGTAAAAGGTTGTGCAAGGATAAGAAATCTACATTTGATTCATAAACTGTTGCAATAGAGAGTGACACTACAGCTAGGTAACTCAGTTTTGCGACCGCTAAAATCTGTCTCCAAAAGTGTCTAATTCATAGCGAATTACAAAAATAAAAAAATCCTTGCGAATTATACTCTTCGCAACGGATTACTCACGGTTTGAGAATCTTCATGGACATGAGCACGGTGATTAATTTTATGAGTCTTAGTAGTAATGTTTGCAATATTTTCTTTGTCAATTTCTTATTTTAAAAAAAAATACTCTGCTTGATCCATTATGATTATCAAATTATGTTGTACCTAAACAGATTAAGACTTTCTAGTAGAAATCTGGTAGAATATCTTATATACTAATACATTCGGGTTAAGCCATCACTATCAGTAATCATTCTCTGTTACAGCCATCCAACTTATGCAGGCTGCTGGCCCTTGTACACAAGATTGCACTTCTATGCGCGGCGGAAGAGTGGATTAGACGATATTGCACAATTAAAAAAAAAAAAAAAAGAACTTAAATCTTGTGTATTGTACTATTAATGAAATTAGGGTACCCTTTGTTTTTATTTTATTTATATTATTGTTAATTAGTAATGATGAGTCCTTTATATTATAACAAGTATTAATTTTATTTGATTAGGTGATTATTTGATGAGATTAATTTCGTAGAGATTGTTTTGGTTTAGCATATTAGCTAGGGGTTTTCTTTAATAGTAAGAACCACGATTCGTTATTTCTTATATTTGAACTCTATTTTCAAAACTTATTTAATCACACATTCTACCAATAAAATAATTTTGCACATAGACTCGTGAATTTTCCCTACTTTCAACCAACCATTCTCCAAAGAAAAATCATTTTTCACAAAAATTATTTTCAAAAATTCTCTACCAAACATGGACGAAAAAGTTTATATATTCTTATTCTTCCGTTTATTGAGTATTCTACTTGATTTAATGGATTTTTGATACCCAGATTCCTGGTATTCAATTGAATCATCCTCTGCATAGACTGTTGAGTAAGGTCTAATACTTTATTCTAAACATGTAGCTAGTTAATTATTTTCTGCTTTATCTAATTATCCATGAGAAGAAGAAAATAGTTTATTTCATTGAATCTGCTGATAGGTATGGAAATGTTTTCAAGACCCATATATTGGGCAGCCCTACAATTATCTCCATGGATCCAGAACTCAACAGATACGTACTTCTGAATGAAGCAAAGGGATTAATTCCTGGCTATCCACAATCCATGTTGGATATATTAGGGAAATGCAACATTGCTGCAGTATATGGCTCTGCTCATAAGCACATAAGGAGCAATATGCTGTCCCTTGTAGGAACTCCTTTGATCAAAGACAGGTTTTTGCCAAGAATCGATAGATATGTGAGGCTTCATCTCAGCAACTGGGACGGTTCGACTGTTGATATCCAAGAAAAGACCATGAATGTGAGTATGAATATTAAAAGATAGTATTCAATAAGAAAAAGAAAATAAATTTTGATGTATTCTCAAGTACTACATAATACCAATATGTTGTGAAACGAAAATTATACCGGATTAATCCAATACCACTTTGTTGAAGAAAACAAGAGATTATAGCCAAAAGATCTCAAAGATATAAAAACAATATAATTTGCAGAGTAAATAAAATTTTATTATAATATGGAGAAAAAATAAAAAGATTTGTGTTTACAATGTTTATAACTTTATCTTAATCATAATGAAGAGCTATCCATACATAGGGAATAAATGGAGGACGTCCAAACCTCAATATTAGAGTTGTATTTGAAGTAGAATGCAAGAAAACTAGTCAAAACCCACAAAACAGGCCTCGACCGAATAAATAGAGAAAGTCCAAACCCAAAAAAACTAGCGGCATCCTAGCGCTCAAGCGGTAGGCTAGCGCTAGGCGAGCGCCAGTTTCTCTGCTTTTGGCGCTTGAGTGTCCAGCTAGCCCCAGGCTAGCAAAAATGCAGTGAGAAAACCTCACTTCCATAATTTCACCCTCTTTAAGCTCAACACAAATTCCAACTTTCAATAGGGCTTCCAAATAAAACTTCAATTAGAATTTGCTAAATAAACTTAAATAGGATTCCACAATAGCATTTCAAATAAAACTCATCTTAACGTGCACTTTGATTAGAATTCCGAATCATCTTCAACAAAGAATTCATGTCACATCCAAATTCTAACAATCTTCACATTGACACGAATTTCATAGCAATGTGTAAACTTAAAAAAATTCTCCATCTGCACATAAATTCTACTGTAAGGAATAAATTTAAACTCTTCAATGAAAAACATAAACGAACTTTTTCATCAAAACTTTTCAATTGGAAATACTCTCCATCTCTGTTACCCTAGTTAGGGGCAGAATTGATCTAATGACTATCAAACAAAACTGAAATAAGCCATATAACGTAATCACATCCGAATGCATCAAAAAAAGGATCTTTACTAGAATCAATACTCTTAACCATATTCAAACCATCAACGAAATCAACAGAATTGTACCTATGTGGAGTTTTCTAGCAAAAAATGGGTCTGTTACTAGCAATTGAATACAATGACACAACCGATGATGGTAGCAGGCGAATTTACTCATAACTTCTAAATTTAACTGACATGTATTCTTCAAAGAAGACCCCAAACTAGACTCCAACAGTACAGAATCCAACTCCAAATCCACTCGAGTTCTTAAAATATGCTCATTACTCAAAGATTTAGCATAACACTGCAAGATATATAAACGAGATTTTCTATATCCCTATATCAAAACACGAGTTCCCTTACTAACATTTAGGACTACACCATCAATAGTGCACTTGTACCCTTTTAAATCAAGAGTATTTATGGAGATAAGATTTCTCTTCAAATCTAGAACGTGTTTAACTGCATCAAGTGTTCTAATCGTCACATCAAATATCTTTATTCTGACCTGGTCAGTACCAGCTATCCAACAAGGTGTATTATTATTGGTCATCACAGCACCTTTTGAAACTTCTTCATATATTGAAAACAAATCTCGATTGGAGACATATGAAATATGCAAGTTGTTTCAAGAATCCAAGCCTCGTCATATTTGGAGTTATAGTCATATATAAGTAAAAGCTCTACATCATTGTTAGGATTTTCTGTCCTTTGAAATTTCTGATTGTTGATTTGAAGTCAACTTTGCTTTATTCTACAACTTATAACAATCATTTATCAAGTGCTTATTTTTATTGCAATAATTACAAAATTTGAAGTTAGATCTTGACTTGCCCCTTGCACTACCACCATCAACAATGAGGCCATCTCCGTGAACCTCATATGCAACAAGATGCTTCATTTTCTTCTTTGAATATAGAGTATCATAGACTTTTGGGATGGTGAGAATATCACGGTTATATAAATTTATGTCTTTAAAAGACTTGTATGAAGTGACAATGAACACAATAAAATTAATCCCAAATCTCTTTCATCATATTTGACCTCCAAAGTCTCTAAATTAGGGACAATTTCCTTAATAGCAGCTAGGTGATCCTCAAGAGATGTACCTTTTGTCATACGATAAGAATATAGACGTTGATTTAGATGCAATTTTCTAGTAAAACTCTTCATCATGCATAATTGCTCAACGTTCAAGCATAATGTAGTGGCTGACTTCTTCTTCAAAACAACCTGAAAGAATATTTTTTGAAAGATTAAGATGTATTTGAGATAGGGCCTTTCGATCCTTCCGTTGTTTCTCCTCTAGAGTCCAAGTTGTGGGCATCTTCTTAAATCCCAACAACGTGTCATCTAAATCCATTTGAGCGAGTACTGCTCGCATCTTTACCATCACAAAGAGAATCTTGTATTACGATCTAATGCAGAATATTATACTTCATTGTTGTCATCGCAAAATATCAAGTTTAGCTATTAACTTGATCAAAATCCCGATCTTCTCAAGAATTTTAAAACCAAAAGCTCTAATACCGGTTTGTTGAGAAACGAAGATAATAACAAATTAATTCAATACCACTTTATTGAAGAAAATAGATATTATAGGTACGATATAAAGTAAATATCTAAAAAACACAAAAACAATATAATTTATTGAGTAAATGAAATTTTATTATAATATGGAGAAATAATACAAAGATTTGTGTTTACAGTGTTTCTAACTTAATCTTAATCATAATGAAGAACCAACTATATATATGGAACAAATATAGGACGTTTATAATTTAATAGTAGAGTTGTAGTTGAAATAAAATACAAGAAAATTTATCAAAATGCGAAAAATGTGCTTGGCCCCGAAAACACCGCCTCTCGAGTGGTGGGCTAGCGCCAACAGGCACCAACTTCTCTGCTTTTGGCACTCAAGCGTCATTTAACTGCAGGCTAGCAAAAATGTGGCGAGAAAACTCCTCATTCCATAATTTCAACATCTTCAAGGTCAACACATATTTCAACTCTCAATAGGGCTTCCAAATAGAATTTTAACTAGAATTTGCCGAGTAAATTTGAATAGGACTTCACAATAGCATTTCAAATAGAATTCCTCTCAACTTATATTTTAATTAGAACTCTCAATTATCTTCAAAAAAGAATTTGAAGCACACCCAAATTCTAACAAAGTACATGGAATTCAGAAATAAATCATTTCATTGTTTGGAATGTATTGGTTAATGTTATGGAGTTGTTTGCATGTTGTAGATGACGTTCTTGATAGCGTTCAAGCTGATTGCAGAAGTTGAATCGAGTTCGATATGTGATGCTTTTAAATTCGAGTTTGATAAGTTGTTACTAGGATCACTGTCTTTGCCAATCAAAATTCCAGGCACCAAATATTATCATGGACTTGAGGTATATCATATGATGATGATGATAGTTACTGGACCTTTTGGTGACTAAATTCACTTTTGAATGCATTTTGTAACTAATATGGAACCAATCTTTAAAGGGAAGGAAAAATGTGATGAAGTTTTTGAAAGAATTAGTCGAGAGGAGAAGAGAATCTCTGGTGGCATATGACGACAAGCTTGATATTTTGTTAAGAGGAGCGGATTCAGCGTACATACTTAATGACGAGGAAATATACGATCAGATAATTACGATTCTGTATTCTGGATATGAAACTGTTTCTACTACTTCTATGATGGCTCTCAAGTATCTCCATGATCGTCCTGAAGCTCTACAACAACTTCGGGTGAAACAGTTTTTGTAATTATTTGTCTATTTTCGTCTTTTTCCTTCGTTCCTTTATGCTGCTGCTAATTTATTTTCATCTATTTTTCTTGCAGGATGAGCATTTTTCAATCCGAAAGAGGAAAACAGCTGATGAATCAATTGATTGGGATGATTACAAGTGCATGACATTTACTAGAGCTGTAAGAAAATTGCTTTATTCTCTTCTTGATATTCTTTTGCCATTCAATATGTGTATATTGAATGAGATAGTCGAACCTACCAAACATGCTAGCATGGTACATGTAGTAGTAATTCATTGTTGCTTTTCTAATAGGTCATCTTTGAAACATTGAGACTGGCTACTGTTGTTAACGGGGTACTCAGAAAGACAACGAGAACAATAGAATTAAACGGTATGACTTGAAACTTCTACTTGATGCTAATTTGAATATATATTTTTCCCCCAAGATCAAGTAATGCCTTGCATTTGGATCCTTATTTGTTCAATTTCTCATAAACCTTTTTCTTTCCCTATTCAGGATTTGTGATTCCTAAAGGATGGAGAATTTATGTGTACACTAGAGAGATCAACTATGATCCCTTCCTATATCCAGAGCCCTATAAGTTTAATCCTTGGAGATGGCTGGTTAGTTGGTTTAATTACTTCCGTTCTTCACTCACCCCCTACCCACCCAATAGCCCACACCAGGTATGCCTTATGGGCCACAGGGCTGGAAGGCCAGCCAAGCATGACTAACTCATGGCTTGGCCTTCAGGCACATGGCGACACTTCTTCACTCACCACCCGCATCTGGTGGGCCACTGGGCTAGAATGTCTATCTAGGCACAACTAACTTGTTGGGAATTGAGATCAAATCCCTTTATTTGAAGTGGAAATTACATCCCAGCCTACTTTTGGAGATCCCAATTCTAAAATCAGGTGGGATCCTTTTTCTTTCAAAAATCAGATCTTTTATTTTAATTAATATTTGTATAAAATAAATATTTTTACTAATTATATATACTCCAAACCCTAACCACCCCCCCACCGCCCCAAATCATTCTCTCTCTACCTCTCCTCTCTCTCTACCGTCCTTCTCTCTCTCCTTCCTTACCCACCGGCAGCCACGACGAGGAAGTTGTCACGGCGATGGAGCTGCTCCGACAGACACTACGCCACTCTCCGGCGCTGCAGATGGAGCAGGAGAAGGGGTGGTGGTGCTGGTTCACGGCGGAGGCGGAGCGAATCAATTTTTTTTCTTAATTTGATTTCTTCGCACAGATCTGTGGAGTTGTGTGTGATTTTTGATGGTCGATTTGTTGTGGTTCACTGGTTGAGTAGTCGGGCAGTGTACTGTGTAGTCGGGAGGTGATTTTAATGTTCCTGCGAGGCACGCATTCCTGCGAGTTGCACTGGTGGAGTTGGAGGCTTGACTGGTGGTGTTTTTTGGCTTGACTGGCGATGAAGTGTGAGTTGGAGGCTTGACAGGTGGT